CTGATGCGGGTGAATCACCTGAGGTTGGGGGTTCGAGACCAGCCTGACCAATATAGAGACACCTGTCTCCATAAAACTACAAAATTAGCTGGGTGTGGTGGCGCATGCCTGTAATCCCACCTACTTGGGAGGCTGAGGCAGGAGAATTGCTTGAACCCAGGAGGCAAAGGTTGCAGTGAGCCAAGATCATGCCATTGCACTCCAGCCTGGGCAACAAGAGGGAGACTCCATCTCAATAAATAAATAAATAAATAAATAAATAAATAATAAAAATAAAAGCACTAGTCCTATTCTCGAGTAGTCAACACCCATGACCAAATTCTCTCAAAGACCCCATCTGCAGGAACATCCTATTGGACAATAAGAACTCTGAACATTGCTTTTGGCCAATATAATCATTCAGACCAGGGAGCCTGCATCAGGTGTTTCTTGTTTTTATTGTGCAATTTGTTTTATACAATATTTTCTGTGATCTCCGTTTATAAATTTTCCTAGTACACAGTCTATGTTTTGTATTTTATGCACAGTTAACTAGATAACTAAGGGCAATGCATACATATAAAATTGCTGTAATGCCTGGTGTTACCTAACTGTACCTGTGACATCATAATTACACCCTCCGACGCTGTTCGTCAGTTCTTATTCCTTTTAATGCTGTGTATTTACTTGAACTCATACATCAGAAGGTGGTGATCTTAACATGTATTTCAGTTCTCATAGTGCATGCTGGTGGGAAGTAGAAGTTGTGGCTTTTTTCTTAAGAGGGAATTGTTTAGAATTCTGCAGGCTGTATAAATGTACTTATTGTTTGCTTGCTGATTTTATCATGGGTTACAATGGCTTACGGATTAATATTTAAGATTTCACATATGGCTTTTCGCTATATGGTATGTAATATAACTGACACACTGCACTTGTTAATTTCAATAAGTCCCTGTTCTGCGTGGATATAGGTAATTTTATGACAGGTATTCAGAAAAAGATTGTATTAACTTTTTTTTTTTTGAGATGGAGTCTCACTCTGTCAGTGCAGTGGCACAATGTTGGCTCACTGAAATCTCCGCCTCCGAGGTTCAAACGATTCTTGTGCCTCAGCCTCCCAAGTAGCTGAGACTACAGGTGCCCACCACCATGCCTGCCTGATTTTTGTAATCTTTTCTTATCTTCTCTCTGCAATGATTATTTGACAATACAGAATTTCCATTGATTTTGGTTACCCTTACATAAGCTTGTTGTGGATTATTTATAAATATAGTATGTTGTTTGCTCTTTTAGAATTTATTTGTATACAGTAGATATTCTGTAAATATGAAAAATATACAGTTTTCTTTTCCTTGTGTGACAGTGATATGTTTTTTGTAAACTGTGATGCACTTTAGGGTCACAGTGGAAAAACACTCCTGACTTTAGGCTTATACATGTTTCTGCCCTGTCAGTGTTTTGTCACGATATTGGAAACATGTAATCGCCTTTTATTAAAGGATCTTACTCCTTTTGTGCTCCTAAACTTTGAAGATCATGTTTGGGAAGTTTAAAATAAGTATTTTTTTGTGTCGTATTTCCACATTTCAGTATGGTTTACCACCTGGACTTAATTGGAAATGTATTATGTTTATATTTTGTAGATATCTCTTCCAAATGCTTGATGAAAAAGGTGGAAGGATCACTTGAGCCAGGGCGTTGAAGTCTGCAGTGAGCCCTGTTTTTGCCACCACATTCCAGCCTGGGTGAGTGAGCTAGACCCTGTCTCAAACAAACAAGCAAATAAATGAGAGGTACAATTCCTTCTTTGAAAATAAAGAAAGAGATTTTCTTTCCTTTCGTCTCTTTTCTTAGGACATTTATTTAGAAAATTTGCAAATGCGTTTTCTGTCTTCTGAGGTAGTCTTTTCTTCTTTCAGATGGAGACGGGGTTTTGCTCTTGTTGCCCAGGCTGGAGTTAAATGGTGTGATCTCTGGTCACTGCAATTTCCATCTGCCCGGTACATGCGATTCTCCCACCTCAGCTTCCAGAGGAGCTGGGACTACAGGCACCCACCATAATGCCTGGCTGATTTTTATAGTTTTGTAGAGACGAGGTTTCACCATGTTGGCCAGGCTGGTCTTGAACTTCTCATTTCAGATGACCCTCCAGGCTCAGCCTTCCAAAGTACTGGGATTACAGGTGTGAGCCACCACACCTGGCCCAGGGTTGTATTTCTGAAGAACTTGGGTACTCGCTTTGAAAGGCAAACAATAGCCGGGTGTGGTGGCTCAGGCCAGTAATCCCAGCACTTTGGGAGGTCAAGGTGGGCCAATCCCGAGGTCAGGAGTTCGAGACCACCTGACCAACATGGTGAAACCCTGTCTCTACTAAAAATACAAAAAAAATTAGCCGGGCATGGTGGCACATGCCTGTAGTCCCAGCTACTCGGGAGACTGAGGCAGGAGAATTGCTTGAACCTGGGAGGCAGAGGCTGCAGTGAGCCAAGATTGTGCCACTGCACTGCAGCTTGGGCAACAAAGCGAGACTCCATCTCAAAACAAAAAGAAAAAAAAAAAAAAGGCAAACAACAAGATAAATAGTACCTGTGTCTCAGTAGGAAATTAAATAATTCAAATATCAAATGATTCCAATTTAAAGCTTTGGACCTTTAAGTAATTCTGAGCCTTGAGAGGAATGTGGTCCTGCAACCTGAGTCCAGGGGAATGCAGGCGCAACTTCTAAGAGTTTTCCTGGCTGACCCTAGTGACTCAAGCCTGTAATCCCAATACTTTGGGACACCGAGACATCTGAGTCACTTGACTTCAGGAGTTTGAAACCAGCTTGCCCAGCTTGGTGAAACCCTGTCTGTACTAAAAATAGAGAGAAATTACAGGTGTCTGCCACCATGCCCAGATTATTTTTGTATTATGGTTAGTGTTAGGGTATTTCCCCCTCCCTCGGGATGATGCTAATTAGCTGACAGAGATTCTCAACTCTGTTACCAAGTAGAGCCAGGATGAACTGTGTGTAACCAATGGCTTCTCAAGTCCTCTTCCCTGAGGACTGATTAGTGTTTATCTTGAAAACATGTACTTAATGGGTTGTACAGAACAGTGAAGTTGCTTTCTCTCTTTTCAACCTCTTAGCTGTTTGCCTCTATTTCCCATCACATTCTGTCCTGAAGCTTATTTATTAATAAAATAGTTTTAATTTCTCTATTATCATCGTAGAGATGATTTCTCATTTGGCGGAATACTCTTTGTTTTTCAATTATATTTTCTCACATTTAAAAAGTGAAGTAAAGAATATTTCCTGGGCCAGGCACGGTGACTCACAAGTGTAATCCTAGCACTTTGGGAGGCCGAGGCAGGTGGATCACTTGAAGTCAGGAGTTCCAGACCAGCCTGGCCAGCATGGTGAAACCCCATCTCTACCAAAAATACAAAAATTAGCTGGGCGTGGTCGTGTGCGCTTGTAATAGCAGCTACTCCAAAGGCTGAGGCAGAATAGCTTCCACTCAGGAGGCAGAGGCTGCAGTGAGCCACAATCTCACAACTGCACCCCAGCATGGGACACAGAGAAATACTCTGTCTCATAAATAAAAGGAAAGAAAAAAGTGAAAACAGGCCGGGCGCGGTGGCTAAAGCCTGTAATCCCAGCACTTTGGGAGGCCCAGACGGGCGGATCACGAGGTCAGGAGATCGAGACCATCCTGGCTAACACAGTGAAACCCCGTCTCTACTAAAAAATGCAAAAAACTAG